TTGCTAGGGACTTGCCCGGCACTTGCTCTCTACCTCTATTTGTTATCTTTCTTCTATCATTGACAGTCCCTCTAGGTTGTGGGCTGCTTGCCTGTGTTCCTGAGAAGCATCTACGGTACCAGTCTATAGAGTGTGTTTTCTTTAGTGAATTACCGGTATGTTTACCGGTAATAAATTTGCACTGTTTTATGTATATGTTTGATTACATACAGCCTTGTGACAGTTTTCCTGCATGTCATAAGCATTTGAATATAAATTAAAATGTTAAAATCAAATCTGATATTGTTTTACCTTTTATTTGGTGTGTGGAAGGTGTGCGGAAGAGGGGGTAGTCTTATACGGCGAGTATATAACAGACTCTGTATTTTGAGTGGAAATGTTAGGGGGTCGTCTTATACGCCGGCAAATATGGTAGTATCGGTCCAGGGCCACAGGATGGTCCTGGGTGGGCTTCTTCGGAATTCTGTCACACTATGCCAATTAAACGCCAATGTGTAGAGAATTTTTAAGAGTTTATTTGAGCCAAACTGATGGCATACACCATGGAGTAAGATCCCTAGATAACGAAGTAGCTTGAAAAATTCAATTCACCACTGAAATAGCAGTGTGTATCACATATAGTTTTGTGTTACAATTATATATACATGTATATTTATAAGATTTCCACATAAAATCTTATATAATAAAGATGTAATATGCAAGTTGTTGTTATGCCATGATAATTTACTCCCTAGATAATTTCTTAATACCAAAATTTTGTTCTGTTTTCTACATCATTTATAAACAAAATTTACAATGTGTAAAATAGATGTTGTCATAGTAAAGCTCAACCCACTTATAAATACACAGCCCTGCGCATGAATCTGTGTGCTAGTAGCTCGCTGCCGCCCTCCAGTAGCTCTCCGCCTGCTGCCCCACCTTCTTGTAGCTCCACCCCCTACCCCCCTCATAGCTTGCTGCCCTGCCCCCTCCTGTAGCTCTCCGCCGCTGCCCACTTGTAGCTCGCTGCCCCACCCTCCTGCTGATCCGTGATCCTGTTGTTATATGCTTCATGGCATAACAACGAC